ATTTCACTGTCCACTCACTCTCTCAATTCTTGAGATTTTCAGACATTCCTACGTCTACTTTCAATGTCGAGTATAAAAATTTAATAATCTTAAAAGTGTTTTACCTGTAATATCATCATTTCTAATAGATTCATAAAGTATTTTTAATTGTTTAAGATGATATAAAATAAGATTATGTTTATTTGACATTAAATATTGATATAATTCTTTATTAATTTGTATTTTTTCATGAATTTTTTCAAAAAATTTATTATTATAAATTTTAAATAATGATCGATGTTGATTATTATGTATTGTTGAATATAAATAATTATAAATTAAATTTAATAATTTATCAATTAAATAAACTAAATCATATATATAATTGAATGTTAATATATTTTGTTTTGTACATGTATTTAATATAGTTAAATGCGTTTGTATTAAACGTATATATATATCAATTATTGATTGAAAATCATTTTCATATATATTATCATATATATAAGGTTTTAAACGATAAATTAAATCAAATAATGAAAGAAAAAATGTACGTTGTTTTGAATTTCTTCGATTAAATTCTTCAATAGTTAATGTTGATAAACGTGATTGTAAATCTAATTTAATTATATTTAAATGACGTAAAAATAATATAGGATATTTCGATACATATTGTTTTAATAAAAGATTTATTTCATAAAAATTATCAATTGATATTAAATCATAACTATTTAAACGTATTAATAAATCATGTATAATATAATCATAATTTGTATTTATAAAATTAATTTGTTTATATTGTTCTTTTAATTCAGAAAATAAATTTGGTAAAATTAAATAAAAATTTTCATTAAATAAATCTGATTGATTTATATAAATAATTAAATAAAATGATGTTAAGATATCTTTTATCCATAGATTTGTATCAGAATCAATGAAAATTTTTTCTAAACAATATTGAAATAAAATTCGTTTTTCAGAATGTTTTATTAAATAATATAATATTGTTTCATAACGTTTTTGATATTGTTCATAAAGATTTTCATTTGATAAATAACGACGATAACCTTCATCAAGTATATATATAATAAGTGTATATATATGTTTATCATTTAAATCAATTAATAATTCATCATGACAACGTTCAAGCATTTTAAATTCTCTACCAGACCATAATGGTGATAATTTTATAAATGCTTCTAACATATCAAGTATTAATGTACTATCACGATGATTTAATAATAAACATTGAGATTGTTTTAATGTTTGTGTTGGTATTAAACGATGATGATGAACAAAATCTATATGATTTATTGATAAACGTTTATCAGTATTTGAAGAATTTAATGTTAAAAGATCATAAATACAATTAAGAATTGTTGACCAATCACATGAATGAAGAAATTGTTTTAATAATAAACGTTGAGATATTGATGAATCTGTTCGTTGAAAAAATAATTGATGACTTGCATATATTGAACTATTTGATGATCTAATAGAAAAAAAAAAGAATAAAACTTAAGTAATATTATTTGATCATTTCCTCTTCTCTATCACAGATGAATATGCAGTTTCAATTTACTGATCACTGACTCTGTTTAATTAGTAGAATAAATCGCTACAAATAGGACATATTTTCATAGAGTTGATGTTTCAATGTTGCAACGAACACAGATGTCAGTTGTGGTCACTGCTTCATTGAACACAAATACCAGTGTAATCAGAGTGTCAGCGATAGAACCCATCGGCTTGTTCCCAGGTCTGAATATTTAAAACCCTATAGTCTCTCTAGTTGTCTAAAAAATGTGTAGGGTGCGCTAGTCACTGAATACAAAAAACAACAGGAAAAGAGTATCTCGTATTTTCAAGGGGCAGTCTAATTTTGATTAGAAAATTTCATTGAGAATATCGAAGTACGATTGGATTGAGTTCGAAAATTTTCGACCTTACGGGCTGCACTTAGTGAACTCTCTGTCGGTGACTCACTGTTGATAATTAAATCAATACTGCACATCAGTAGTATTGCTCGTGATAAATCAAGGTGATTCTTATGATCAGTTCCTATACGTATCGGTGAGCCTTTTTATTAATCTCTTCTAACCAATATACATGCGACTAATCTAATTAAATTCTTGCTAGATGAAATTGATTTTTGAATTTCGATTGGTTTATCATATTTTATTTACTTTCTATATGCGTGAGAAGAACTGTCTTATATATGATTTTGCACAATTTTTCATGAATTTGTTTTGTTCTGCTAACTCAGTATGATGTACTATTTTTTATTGAAAGATAAAAGTAGAACAATTAAGGTTATTGAATAGATTTTTTTTTTGAATAAAATTTTCTTGTACTTGATATTAAAATAATCGAGAAACGAATTGTTCAAATTTGATAAGATACACATTTTCTGAATAAAATTTCGTAATTTAAATACATGCCGTAAAAATAAAATTTCTTTTCTTCAGACATAATTTATTCAAATGTAATGTGCTAAATTGATATTTTGAAAGAAATGTAAATAAGAAACAAAACTCAAGTTTGATTACTTTCATATTCATTAGATTTCGAATAAAAAAAACTAAATATGATTAAAAATATTTACCTTGAAGATTTATAATCCATTTTTTCTAATTGATCTAAAATCATTCCAATTGTTGGTTCGGATAATTTATATTCAGCTTCAACAAGTACATTCATTAATAAATGTTTACATTCATCTTCATATTGATTATTTAATATAAAATATTTATAAAATTGTCTTTCAATTCTACAATCATTTAATGAATTATAATTACTTAAAATATTTAACATATGATCAATAGTTAAATTTTTTTTAATCTGTTCATTTGTTAATAAATTTCGATTTTGTTTTGTTGTAAATTTTAATTCTTCATATTGATTAATCATACGTTTTAATTGTTTTATTTTTAATTGAAATATATTTTTATTATGATTATTATCAGTAGTTTCTAATAGATTTATTAATTTAATATAATCATCATTTAAATATTTTTTTTTCATTAATATATTTAATAAAACAAATGAACTATTATATTGTTCATGAAGATTATTCAAAAATTCATCTTTTGATGTTGAATAACAACATTTTAATATTGTCTGACATAATTGACAACGATATTCATCAGATATATTTGTTAACCATTGTATTTGTATAAGTAATTGACGACGTTTTATAGGAGAAATTCTTTTATCAATTATATATTTAAGTAATTCTTCACATTCATTTAAATTTTTCCATGGAATATTAAAATTTATATCTGATATATCCATTTGATTTTCATTTGATATTTCATTTGAAGATTTTTTATTACATAAATCATTTATACGATTATTAAACGAATGAATTTGATCAGATATTGATGATGATATACGTGAACTTGTTGGTATTAAACGAGTTTTTTTATCAGATAATTGTTGATTCGAATCGTGAGATAGACTTTAAAAAAAAAAAAGAAGAAACTATTGAGTTTAATAGAATAATATGATTAATTGATATATCTATAGGTTAGACGAAAAAGTTCAGATATATTTTTTAGTGATAGACAATGATCTCCTTAAATCTAAAGAATTAATAAATAGAATTTACTGTATCGAAATCGTTTTTCATCAAGAAAAAAAAAAGAAAAGGTTTTAGCATTAATTTAACACATTGGGTTTCTCTTAAAATCCTATGTGACATATTCCAAGAACTTCATAGTTCAAAACTATAAATTTTCATGTATATTATGAGTTTCTCGACTTAATATTAAGATAATTATAATTTTGAAGAGAAAGCTTAGTTTTAAAAATTGTCTTGTTTTAGTCACGAATGAATAACATCATAGATTATTCATGAGAAAATACACAATAAACATTTTCTTTTAAACACAATTCTTCTTTTGTTTTTTTCCCTATCAGAATGAAGGTATATATAATAATCTTGTAAATTTGCATCGAATTAAGGTTTCTATGATTATAGTTGAACAAGCCATATAATCAAGATGTCTAGATAAGAATCTCAAGAACTTAGTAATCATTATTTTGATTCTTCTTAGCGTTTACAGCAGCGGAAAAAATTTTTTTTACCCATGAGATTTTTTCTTTTTTTCTGTTAATTTTTTTAATTTTTCTCCAAGTTTAATAGCTTCCGGTAATTGTTCAATAATCCATCGATTAATTAAAGGAAGAATAAATGATGATTGTTTAATATATGTATGAATTTGTTTTGATGATAAATCAATTAATTGATTTAAACGTTGACATAAATAATTAATATTTTCATGTGATTGAACAGATATTTTAAACATTTTTAAACATGTTAATAAAGATGCTTGATCAATACATTGTTTAACTAATGAAAAATTATTTGATTTAAATATAAAATATTGTAAATCATCCGAAAGAAATAATGACTGTTCATTATCATTATTAATTGGTACAATACGATAAATTGCTTTTGTTGAAGATGTTAGAAAAACTTTCTCACTTGATGTCGAATGTGATAAACGTCGTTTACGATTTGTTTCAGGCGGATCAGAATCGTCTATAGCAAATTGTTTAAAATGACTTCCTTCATTATCATCAACAGATGGACTCTGAAAAAGAAAAAGAATGATAAATATTTTGAGTAAAAATTGGAAATGAAAAAGAAATATAATACGTGTCTTGTCAATAGTATATATTATAGATAACTAATAGAGAAAATTCCAGAAACTAAGATAAGGTTTGTATTTTGCGAAAAAAAAAATCATGATTTTAACTTCTGGAAAATTATGTAAGTGGGAACGAATTGTAGAAGTTTATAGTTATGCATAATGGATGTAAAATAAATCTCTAATATCACAACAAACATGATAACTATTTAGATAGGTAGAAATTTTCGAGTTGGTATTTTTAAGAATCTAATATGTTACACTCTTTATATATGACTAAATAATAGCATCTGATATTGGATATCTGTTGGCAAATCTTACGGAAAGATTATTTCTAATTCAGTATGCTGTCATTTTTCATGCTGTGTCTTATTTTCTATTCTCTTTTATCTTTTCATAGATCGCTGCAAATAGAGCCCGTTGAATTCTCTTCGACAGGCTCCCGATACTCTTTACAAGTCACAGAGGCAAAGAAATTGACTGGCAGTGACTGAGAAAAGCTGTCTTCTCAAATTTTGCAGACGTGAAGAAAAAAAAGGAGGGCTAGTTCATCCCAGCTTCTCTCACATCGAGACCGATGACTCTAGCTGCTATTAGGCGACTAAAATCCCGATTTATAACTCTTTACATATATGTACGACACTTTATTGTAAGTTTGAAAGGATCAGCGTCGGTACACGTCTAGTAGAGCATGTTGGGTCAAAAACTCTTGGATTCGATCAAACCGTACTTCGACATTCTCAATCAAATTTTCTGATCGGAACCACACAGTGGTTGCAAGAAAACTTTTTTCTGATTTCTTTTTGCATTCAGTGACTAGCGCCATTGACACATTTCTTAGAAGATATTAGAGCCCATCAGATCTGGGACTAAACCCTACGTAGCCTAATGTCTACGAACAATAATAATCTTCTATTGTGTTAAATTCATTACAATTATTGAAGAAATGTGAATGAATGATTTATATATCTATACCTCTTCTTGAACTTGTTTAACAGGTATTGGTGGATTAAATTGTTTAATTGTTGTAAAACAAGGTGTAGAATTAGTATTAAGAAAAAATTGTTGCAATAAATTAGCTAAATCATTTAATGTTTTAATTTTAGTATTATTAAAATCAAAATAAGCTAAAAAAATTAATAATAATTCAATAAGTATTGAATCAATTTGTATATAATGTTTATTCATATTCACTATCCATTGATAATCATCATTTATATTCATAGAAATTTGTAATTGTTTAATTATATTTATTTGTTCTTGATTTAAATTTGGTAACATTAAATATGTTTGAATATTTGTTGATAATTGTTCATCATAATTTTGATCATTATTTATATCAATTGAATTTTTTAATGAATATTGTAGTTTTTTAATTAACATTCTAATTATAAAATGAAAAAATTTTTCAATTAATTTTGAATTTTTTTCGTGTTTATCATATTGTATAAGTAAATAAAGTATTGAATGTCGACGATTTAATGCTTTTGCTATATTTGATAATAATATAATATCATTATTTGAATCAATATGACAATTATCAATAATAAATATTATTGAATAATGTAAAAAAGAAATATTTATTTCAAATTGACATGTTTCAGATAATGTTTGTTTGATTAATAATTGCGTTTGATCTAATGATTTAAATTGTGTTATTGTTGATAGAATTAATTCAATATATATTTCAGGTAATTGATCATATTTTGATAGAAGATTTTCAATATTTTGTATTTCATGATTATCATTTAAAATTATATATAAACAAAGCCAAGCATTTGAACGCATTGTTGATATAGTGGAATTGAGACGATTGAAAAAATAATTTAAAATACATGTCATATCATTGATTTGAGGAGAATTCAAAGAAGATTTCTAAGTACAGAAGAGAGAAAAAAAACATATGAATTTTCATTACAATAGAAAAAATAAGTGTTCTATTTTTGTCATATTGATTGAGGAAAATATTCTCCAATCGTATTGAATAAAAAAGATCTCTGGTGAGAGACGGCGCTACTCTGAAGACCGGATTTATGATTCTTGTGTCATGCATTATGGTATCGAGTTGTTTCTTTGTACTTAAAGATCTGCTGTAGTTGATTCTTCTAGAGACGTTATCGTTTTAATAATCAGTTCAGTTTATTGAAAATATTCCTTTTTTTGTTGTAGACAAATTATGAGGATGTAACTTTTTGTCATCGAATGAGACCTACATATTATATGTCGGAAGCCAAAAAAAAAGGAGATTCTATTCTATAGTGGTATTCATGCTACGATATTTTCTTTGAATTTTTCGTACGATATAAGTTTTATCATAAGATTATTACGAAAAAAGGAAATATTTGAAAATAATAATCGAAAGCCTTTTAAAAAATATATAAATGAGAAATCTAATTTAAATTTTTTTATTATAAAACAAAAATGTTCTATCTCATTTAATTTATCAGTTCGTATGTACTACTCGTAGTGTGTGTCGGTGATAAAAAGAAACTACTCATTATATATCACAGTGGTAAATCAATCGTTTTCATAAATTAAAAACAGTAATATGTTTGACAGACACGAAGAAAAAGTGAACAAATCGGGTTTTTCTTTATTGAGATCTGACGAAGGGAGTTCAACAACTGATAAGCTATTCTTGATATAAGTCTACATGCATCATGCAGACTCCAATGAGCTTTGAATATAATGAAAAGAATCCGTGTCCTTAGTTTTATTATTGCGTAGATAGTACAGTTTTACGATACTTTTTACATGAATGTTGTGAACCAGAAAAAATGATTTTTGAATTTTAACTTGACACTTTCTACAGAAACAGGTCTTAACGGGAATAGTTTACTGTAAAAGTTCCAAATCTTTTCATTTACTTCTATCCTATAATAAGAACATCAAATATTTCCAGTGTATATGACCGATGTAGAAGACATATCTTCGCAGCAATCAAATAAAGGCACAAACTCTTTTCACTCTACGTAACGCACATATTATCTACTGTTCTTATCAGTTGGAGGCGAGGGGAAGGGGGAACTTTCTTCATGAATTCATTATACGTGCTACGGAAAGACAATAGCAAACATCTTAATATCTATTTTTGTATTGTATTTCATTGTGAAATCATTAGGAATCACTACAGTAAATTCAAAATGTCCTACCTGTGTATTAGATAAAATTTGTTGTTTAACCGATTGAATAATTGATTTAAATCTAATTAAAATAGTTTCAAGTGCATGTAAAGTTTTTTTTGATGGTGTATTAATACTATTTTTATTATTATAAATCATAATCATATGTTGAAAATAATCACATAAACAAATAATTGGAAATACATTTAAACAATCAATATTTGAATCAATTAAACTAGTTAACCATGATGTTTGAGAATCGAATACATTTTTTCCTTGTTGTTCTTTTCTATTTAATATATTTAAAATAAAATCTGGTGAACGACAACGACATAACATTGATGATAATTTATATAAATTATTAAAACCTTGTATAAGATTATAAAAATTTTTTTCATTTTTATCATGACTTGATGGTCGTTTAATTTGTTGAAAATCTAATAGAATAATTTTACCTAATAATTGACTATTTGTTTCATCGATAATTTTTGGTGATGCTAAATATTTTTCTAATTCTAATATTGTATCTTTTTCTTCACGTAATTGTATACGTTCATTCATATAAAATTTTTCAAGAAAATCTTTTGTTTCAATCATTGACTTTGGTGGATATGTATAATCACCAGTTAATAACATTTCCATAAATAAACGTATTTGTGGTACAGATGACCATATAAAACGACCAAATATATGTGGATCATGTGATGCTAATAATAAACATATTAAACATGTTTTCCAAAAAATATCTGTTATGAATAAGTTTTTCGGTATTTGATATGTTGATGGAAATTGTATTTGTATTGGTATATGATAACGTGTTAAATCAAAGAATTTTTTTAAAAATATTTCACAACGATTTTCAGGTATACGAAGATATATTGATATATAATCATTTGACATTTTTTGTTCAACATTTAATGTACGTCGTACAATAAGATCAATTAAATCAACAATAATTGATGGATTTATACGAAATTGTGTTGTTAAACCAATTTGTATAAGTAAATATAATGTTTCACCAAGTAATGGAATTTCAGATGATAAACGAAATAAATCATTACGTAAGCCGATGGGTTCTTCAGGTGGCCAATTTTCAATACGTAAATATGAATTAAATTGTGCCGTAAATAATATACTATATAAACATGTAACATAAATTATTGGATTTATTGTTGATGTTGAATCAAATAAACGTGGTAATGTATAAAGAAAAAATAAACATGAACCACATTGTATAAATGATATACGTTGTATAAATAATAACCATTGATCATTATTTGTTGTTATTGATGTACGTGTTGTTGTTAGATTTATATTTGTTGTATTATTTATTGAATTAAATGCTTGTGCTGATGCTAAAATTATCATTGGAATAAGATCACATATAGCAGAAAGAAAACGTTCACGTGTTGACATATCACATTCTAATAAACGTTTTAGTAAACGATGTGATGTTATATCATTACTTGGAGGATCCTAAATGAAAAAAAAAACTAAGACAATAGTTTAAATATTAATTATTCATTAAACTCCGTTCTCCGCAATAGAAGACTCTTAGTCTTCCATTATGTTCGATCCATCATTCCTTCACGGAATTTTTCTATTGCAGGGAGAGATTTATGAACATTGATAATCAAATAATTAATCTTACCTGTTGTTGAACCATAGTCCAAAATTGTTGTTGTAAATTATTTGAATAATGCATATCAATTAAATACATACAAAAACGCACAGAATCAAAATCATTTTTAGCATAACGCATTAGATCACGTATAAATGGTCGTATTAATTTTAATAAACTGTCATAATCTTTTGATGTTGTTGTTACATTAGTTAAAAGAAGAATATTTTGTATTGTATATGCTAATGATTGACATGTATGTTCAGGTTGTGATTGACAACAAGCATGAAGTAATGATAAATTATTTGGATTTTTACTTGTTGTTATTATTGTTGGTGAATTTGATATTTGTTGTTGTAATTCATTATGAACAATAAAACGTACAATTATATCAACAAGATTAGCATCAATTTTTAACATTTCACGTATACATAATATATACATTTTATTTGTTGCATTCGTTGCACGTACTTTAAAACGTAAATTAACTAATTGTTCAATAGCACGTTCATCTATATATGACATATCATTATTTATTATATGTCCATTTGTTAATAAATGATTATTGTTATTATTTGTTGCTATTGTTGGTTTAGTTAAATTTTCACATAATGCTATCATTAATTTTTCCGCTGTACGATTTAATTTAGGATTTTGTAACCATATATCAAGTCTTGATAATATATATAAACGTATATCAGGTAAACCACATAGTTGTTCAAGTAAATACAGTAATTTATCTGTTTCATGTGGCTGACTTGTACTTGTTGATGTATTTGTAGGATTTAAATTTGTTGAATTTCCACTTGTTGATTTTATTTTAGCATTTGTTGTTAATAATGTTTGTAATAAATTTTGTATAGCTTGAGAACGTCCTTCATAACGTGAAATAATTAATTGATTCTCTGTATTATTATTATTATTAAGCATTGAATCATCCATTGCTTGTATTGAAGATTCAGATTCAGTTGCTGTTATTGATAATGCTTCATTATTATTATTACTATCATTACTTGTTTCATCAGTTAATGTTGATGATATTGGTGCTGTTGTTGTTGGTGTGGTAGAAATTGGAATTGTTGGACAAATTTTTAATCGATCTAATTTCCATGTACATGGACGAGTATTAAAAGCTGTTTGAATATTTGAAACAAATAATCGACAATCAGAATTTTTTGTCCAATTTTGTTCACCTAATGCATCTTCAACATAGACTTCGATGAATTCATCAGGCCAATGAGCTTGATCCTGAAATTGAAATTTGTATTTTTATTGGATTGAATATAATGATTAAGTCAATTTTATCCAAAAATCGAGAAAAAAAAAAGACAAGAAATGATTTAGATCTTATCGAATGTCTACAAATTATTGCATAGTATTTCTCATAGAACATGAATGAAGATGTTAATGGTAACAATTTTCTTTTACTTATTTCGACAATGAGACAAATAAATTAATTCAATGAATATAGAATGTTGCAAGGACTTGTATAGAATATATGATTGTTTCTCGAAAAGAAAATCATGTAATGCTTTTGGAAATCTCGGATAAAATATCCAAAAGTAGAGATGTGTTACATAAGTTTTTCTTCGTACCTTAGCTGAGAGAAATTTTCTAATCCTCACCTTGTTCTACTCTACAAAAATTTTATCTTATCCCCTCTCTTCTCATAGCGTAGTTGATAGACTCTAACAACGATAAATAACAAAATAGTGTCACGTTAGTGATGTGTAGCATAACCTTTTTTCGTACTCTGTACTCTGACAAAGAGAAATTTTCTTTCCTTTATCCTATCCGGAAGAATAGGATATGGAAATCCTACACATCTCTGTCTGAAAGGGAGGTTAATGAAGAATATTTTTTAAATGTCTGAGTATGTATTAACTATGAATAGGTTTCACTCTTAAACAAAAAACATTCGTTTGTATATCTTTTCGTGAATCGAAGATGTAATCGTTATGATATATATCGTACATTTCAAATTTTAGTCTGTCAGAAAAGGACACTTTAATACTTTGAAATTCAAATACAAGTTTTATGTATGATGAAAAGAAAAACAAGGAATAAAACTAATCACTTTGTAAAACTTTCCAAAATAAATATACTAATTCGCATTGTTTAAATATACATGATAATTGTTAAGTAGAGAAAAAATATTATCGAATATTGTAATGATTTTCTAGAAGAAATTTTGATTGTCTCTCACTTTGAAAATCTTTCATATTGTTAAATAAAGTTTATAACTATCTCGAACAGATGATTAATTCTAAGAAAAGAATTATATAATAAAATTTTCTTATTTTTACTTTATAAGCAAGCCAAAGTATTTGACAAACAAGTGTATATGGTGTTGTCGTCAGTCCTAAATTATTTCCATTATTAATGGTTGGAAATGTTTTCATTGTTTTTGTTAATGTCGATCCTTTAAGTAAAGTACACATAGCTTTTAATACAGATGATAATCGAAAAATTTCTCCATGTAATGATACAGTCCATGCAAGAAATGTTAAAACAGTATAATCAGCTATTTGTTGTGATGAACGTTTTGATGTTGTTATAAAATAATTTATTGCATTAAGTATTAATTCTTCTAAACGTTTTTCATCATGTCGATTATCTTTTATTTCAGAACGAAATTGTTCAGCATCAAATGCCACTAAAGGTGTTGACATTGTTGTATCAAATGTAACAATATCAACAAGTGAATTCGAATCAGTATCAAGAGGATTAGTATTAGGATTATTACGACGTACACGAACGTTACCAGAAGTTTGTACAACTGTTGTTGATACTGATGTTGAAGATATTGAATTAAGATTTGTTGCAGTTGAAATTGAAGGAACTGTAGATGATATTCGTCCTAAGGGTGTTAATACTTGATCAACATTTGCATTTGTTTGTCGTAAACGAGTTCGATTTAATCCTTCACGACTGGTCATATTTAGAACATGAATGAAAATTTATCTCTAAGTTATTATGATATGATTTTCATTGATGAATTTATTCATTACTGTCAATAGAAATGATCTAAAATAACATGTAGTAGTTTACATATTGATCTTAAAATGTTTCTTAAAAGAAAAAACAAAGTGGAAGAGCTAAACAATTACGCCATGTCAATTTTCTTTTCAAAGCTTTATCTGATACGTTACTTAAAATCAACTAGGAAGAGAAGAAAAATCAAGTTGCTTGTAAACATATCGATAGAGGTCATTAACAATCGACAAAACAATAACTTATGAATTGCCATAAGAGTTTCTGAAAGTAAAACGACCCTGTACTTACGAGATAACTACCTAAACTCATATCCACACTTTGAGCTCATATTGGATTCATAAGGATGTCTCAATACGACTACAAAAATTCTAAAAAAGTTCATCTCGATGAACATCTATAGCTGAATTAACATCAAATTTGAGTAATGGTTGTCCATATTCATCTAGAAATCAGTTATAAAGCACGTATTTTCTTTATAAATAAAACTTGACGATTTCTTTCTAATGGTATAATCCAACTTTCGATTTTAATGCATATTTATGAAAAAAATTTTTTTTTTAATAATGCATGATTGTAAAAATTAGATTTCGATAGTATTCCTGTCAAACAGTAAGTCGTACTATTAAATTGTCTAAAAGTTGGCAATTTTATCACGATTAATCTACAATTATTTTTAAAATTAATAAATTCTGGTCAATTTTTCATAATAGAATCCCCAAGGAGTCTAGTACAATAATTATGACTATTGTAAATCTGCTTATACGCAATCGTTTATTGTTATATTCTCATAAGTGAGAGATATGAATTTTTCTTTTTCCTCCTCTCCATAAATATAAAAATATAATTTAAATTCTAGAATAATACTTATCAATAAAATTGCTGTTAGGATTAATCTAACTAAAAAAAGAATGTGATCTACTTTTTAAAATAATATACTTATTACTGAAGTTATTCTTGATAAGAATAGTGTGTCTAATAAAATAAGATGGATTACATAAGGACTGGAAGAAACCAAATGATCCAGCCTGTTTTCTTATTGGTTGTAACTCAAATCAGACAGTAAGTATGGAGTGCGAGATTTTTATCAGATAGTACGACATAGAAATGCTAGAAATATTTTTTAAAGGAAAATTATCATGATTTAGTTCTTCAGAACTAAAAACATACGAATAATTTTCATGTAGATGATTCTTATATCGTTATTTTTGAAATATCGTGATTAATTATGATTTATTTCACTTTTTAAAAATCGACAAAACTTACGCGATTTTGATGATATGAAAACTAAAACTAGGTGCAAATCCATTAATATTCGGGTGTACATTATGTGCGATCGATAAATTATAGTGTGAAAAAAAATGTTGCACTGTATTGAACGACACATGAACAACAAAACAAGTAACGTCGTGAAAGCTTGAAATTAATGTAAAGAACATTCTATATTAATCATTCGATCTGAATCAACTCTCACTCAATCATAACAATATGTGTCATCATGAGCAATCCAAACGTGATACTTGATCATCTAGTCAAGAAGATTAGCTTTGCAAATTGAGAGACATGCTGAAATATTACGATCGATTAGTGTAACATGCCATAGATATAGGTAACATTCATGTGATGAATATGGAGATTTCTTGAAAAAAAAAGTTAATTCGAAAAACTCTAAACATTTAAAAATGAAGAGAACAAAATTATAATATTCTATGTATCACACCGTGTCAGATTACTTTGTCATAGTGATCTCATTAAACGCACGGAAAAGATTTACAAAAAAAAACTGAAATAAGCGAATAACTCTCGGTTGAGTATGAATAGTGATAGCAGAGTTTTACCTCACCGCTGGAGCCCGTCGGGTTCGAGTAGAGTCCGAGTCCAAAAATTTAATTTTTATCGGGCCCGGGTCCAGATCTAAAGCAATTTTTGATGCATATGAGAATATTTTTCGAAGTTTTTACTGATCTTCAGTTTTCTCTGACGAGCTAGTTGTCTTTGGTTGTTAGTGTTGAAAATAAATTATTTGTGTTCAATAGAACACGTTGCTTTGGTCTCTGACACAGCCGAGATCAGGTTCGGGTCCAAAATTTTTCTATTTACCGGGTTCGGGTCCAAAAATGTTGTACCCGGCGGGCTCTACTCACCACAGCTTTCATAGAAGTAAATTGACTGAGAACGACCACTGTTTTCTGAGATTTTGCAAAATCCAGGTATATGATTCTGCAAGAAGCTATGTAGTGAATTTTCGACGTCGCTTTTGTCGTAACGTTATCGAGCAGTAACAGAGTTATTGCGACATCTGTTACAAAAAATCCTACAGAGAATGAAGCACGCCATTCATTTCGTGTGCACACATTCCTTGACATCTCATTCATGTAATACATGAAATGTGTCAAGACAGTAGTACATATTAAATTCAGTTCGAATAGCAAAACCTGCTGTTTTTTATTGTTGGTACTGTGACGTAGCAAATCGTGATTTTAAGCAAAAACTTTTGCTTTCCAAAAAAAAGGATTGTGATGGGTAGCTACTATTATTACTTTCATCACGCCATGTGTAATCTTTATGAAATGAAGTCTTCAACGCCGCAGCTACCATCGAGGTCAACGCAATATTTGAAACTCATATGAATGATAATATTTAATAGCGTGATGAAGATAAAGTTAACAGCAATTTTAATAAAAAAGGATTCTCATAGGAAGACGTCAAACAATATGAGAATTTTGTGTTATGCTTTGACTCATAGCTGAATCATCAAAACACTGAGAAATTGGGATTGTTGTTAGCGTGTTGAAATGCTAAAAAACAACGTATTTCACTCGTTATTAGAACTCTGTTCTGGGTTTAGATCTGTCAGGATATCTTGAGTGAGGGCTCGGACGAAGAGTAGATTCTCACCCATACCCACATCCTATTTGGAATTTTTGTGGGAAGATTATTTTCATCAAGCGACAATTTGTTTTTTTCTACGGATATGTATCTAATCACTATAGTGACGAACAAATTTATTCAAAGTTAATTGTTAGTCAAAAAACTAAAGTTAGACTAGAATTAGAAATGGCAATTTAACAAAAACATCAATATGTCTATGTGACTATTGATGCTCGAGTACCTACACTACCATTATACTAGAGAAGGCGTCAAAATTTTCGTCTTATGTCAAATTCTTTATCTCAACGTATGAAACATAGCAGCAATAGATTGTAAACTCGTCGGATTGGTTCGGGTCTCGGCTATGATCTCATATATGAACTCAACCCGACAGTTAATGAGACCTTGAAGTTTCAAATCATGTTTACTTTTTCAAACTGCTAGTATATCTAAAAATATAGGAGTGAAAACAGGTTCGATCATGCTTGAGCACTGATAAACTTTGTGTTTAATGAATATTTATCTACAGATGATGATGATGAATCATACGACGAAGTCACTGAATAAATGAAGAGAAAAATGAATTATCAAAAAAATGAACATGTCTTATCGTGATGGAATATCCATTCTTGTATGTATCCATAATTATGACATTTGGCACTAACAGTGCGTCTCATTTCAGCCGCATCATCGAGAAGCAAAGGTATACTTAGTAAAATTGATCCAATTTTAGAAGTAGAAAGACGCCACGTAAACCTTGAATTACTTGTTTTTTGATGAAATTTGAGATAATCTCGTTTTCTTTTTGGTTGCTGTGTATGGAAGAAACTAAATAGTATACTTTTTCATATAAAATAAAAGTTTGAAAACCGTACTATCACTAGTTCGGTTGCGAAAAGTCGTATCCATGCAGAACACTACTATATTCTAATGAAAGATAATTTATCACAACCAATAAATTTAAAAGAAAAACGGAACTGATTATTAGCCGTGTTTTCTGAAAAAGTTGTTTCACGAGACATCGAATTATCTTTTTCTTTTTGTCATGGGATTTAATTATAGATCGACTTTATAGACTTCTTTTACAAAATCGATAGACTTAAAATAACATACGTTGGAAGGACTCTTTTATTCATACTTAATAAAAAAAATGACATAAACAAAACTAATTTGGTATAAGAGAATAAACATTATAATCTTGACGGATTTTTCGCATTCATAAGCTCTTCTTTCAAACCAATATATGACATTAAACGAGATTCCAATGCCATTCGCATTGCCTAAAATAAAAATTCATACGAATAAATTCAACATATATTTCTAATTTAAATTTTCATAATTAATTGTATACAAAAGAAAACAAAAAATGAATGTCATTTCTGTTCGCAAGAATTCTACTTACGAAACCAGATGCTGATGTATCATTGATAAATTTACGTGGATGTATACGATTATATTTTCCAGCTTTAAATGAAAATTTTGAAAAATCTTCTTGAGTATGCCAGCAATGTAAATGTAGACGATTATTTTTTTCTAAATCATATGGATCTTTATTTGTTGTTGATTGATCTAATAATGTATGAGCTAAACCTATATTAATATTTTCACTTAATCTTAAATGATTAATTGCCAACTCACAACCATATAACAAAAGAACACCATAATACCAATCAGGCCAAAGCTATACAAAGATGATTAATATATCGTTTAATTTTAAACTATAGGGGATTGAAATAAACATACTAAAATGCCTGTTCTTCTTTGTCGTTCTGCTATTGTGAATTCATTTATTGATAAATATAACATGGCTTCCAAACTAAAATTAGCAATACGTTGAGCTACAAGTGGCGGCCCATACCTAATAGAAAAATATCTTCCTGTTTTTTTTTACTTTTAAATAAATATTCACATTGAATAACTTACCAAGTTGATCCAATATTAGTTATATTTGCATATAACCAATTCATATTGTGTGCAATACGTCTGAGACGGCCAGTATTAAATGTTGTTGAATAACCACCACGACCAGCAAGTAATATGTCATTGTATGGAACAAAATGACCAAAGTGTGGTGTTAAAAAAACATCTATATCTGTACGTAAAATATAATCATACATAGCAAATGATGGATAACATTCAGCAATTATATTAATTGAATCTATATATTCATAGGTTTGAAGATGTGTTTTAAGTAATATTGAACGATCTATATCAATTTGTTGATAAAGATGATTATCAATCTTATCTATATCTCTTATGTCACGTAAATATACACGTTGATAAGGGAAAACACGACATTGTGGTGATTCGTGTTTATTTGTTCGAATACGATTATAAACACAGCCAAGTCGTTGAAGACGTAAAGTAAAATTCCCTGTATAAATAACTAAATCTGTTCGCCATGATGATGGTTCATTTTTCATCATTTCGATCCATGAATGATAAAGCCATAATAATTCAGAAAAGAAAACAATTTCTTGATCATGTGGATAAAAAATTATAATGCCACGTAATAACGATGATGATAACGGTTGATGAATACGAGGAAAGTATTCATTATTATTAATATTAGCTTGTTCTGTTATACCATCTACTACTTGTATATATGGCAAGATTTGTGTATGTGGTTGACGAAATACAACTATTGCAATTAGGATCAATGTCAGAATAATAACTACAAAGAAAATACGACATATTGGATTTCTCTTGATAAGAGACAACAATATCATCTTGGTTTTTTTTTCTCTACGATGTTTCAAGGACCGATATAACAATAATAACTTATTTGTATTTGATAGACCATTTTGTTTAAGTAATGATATTTCACATATGTGGCCAAATGTGATAATAGTAAAAGAAAAACGATTTAATAAACCATGCATGCAATGCATGACAAGAAAAAATCTGACAAGCAGGTAAGCATAATGAAGAACAAAAAAAATAGTTTTGTTAGATCAATGCTTAGAATTTTTCTTTTTCTTTATAAGAATTATTTATAAATTACACTTTCGATCTGTTTTTATTGCTCAAAACAATTTGTTCGAATAAATAAATAACAATTTTTGACGGAATGATTAGAAAAGTATATCTTCGAAATCACCAAAAATTTTAAATTAAATTGACGACTTTTATCAAATAATGAAACTGACGTTGTCGAAAATAATTTCTTGTTTTCGTTTCTTCTGAAAGTCAAATAGATGAAAATTTCAATGACGTAACTCATAGCCGAAATGTTAGATTGCCGCGTTTTGATGATTTTCATTTCGCCGGCATGACTTTTAGCGACATGCATAACTAACCACATTTATAATTATAAGTATTCTATGCACAAACGAAAAAGATCATTGTTTTGTACTGTTCAAAGTTCTAAACAAGAATCTAACATATTTCTGCATACTATTTGGTAAAAAATAATGAAAAGACATGTTGCGTATTGAAACGAAAAGGTTTTCATCAGGAAACAGAAAAATTTTCTTCTCGTTTCATTTGTGAATGTCTTATTCAAGTCACACAATTGAAAACAAAAGTACATAAAAAGTAAAAGTCAAAAAACTATGCTATACATACAGGTATGAAGAGTTATAGACAAAAAAAGGGAGAACGTTTTTGCATTTATCGATACAAAACAAATTATTTCAGTAAGTCTTCATTGAGGAGATGCAACAATCAACATTTGTGATAAACATTACTGTTACATCATATGTTATGTATGCGTATTTGCATGAAGTTGTAACAGAGTGTGCCGAATCATCATTGAAATGTATAATCTTGATTTTGACAAATAAGGTAAGAGCGTTCCTAGGATATTCTTCTAATACCTTTTACTTTCTTTCTGAAAATATTCCATCGCAGATATTGAAGTATAATCAAAGTATTACTATTACCATTTAATAAAATTTCACTGGTGTTGTTTACCACTTCTGTATCGCCTGTAATGTCCTTCTAAAGATGTCATAGCGACAACTCTGAGCACATACTTCCTTCAGAGATATGAACACAAAAAAGAGACCAAGCATCCAACTCGAAGAGATTCCAGTTGAATAATATTTAATGAATTGTTTTTGTTTTCAATGAGTTAGTTCGTTGATTTTTTTCCATTTGTAATTTCATTCTTCACCTCGTTTTTAATACAACAGATTTAATATTAGGTTTCTCACTATTCTATATAAAGTGACATTTTGTTCTCATAAAATTTTTCTTAAAACGAAAGACAACGAACAGACTGATACAATTTACCGGATAACATTAGACAAATAAATAAAAAACAAAAGACTGATTTTACAATATTCATTCTAACAAATAATTATTTTGTTTTGTTACCACCAATAAGATGGGAGTACGACTGTTGTGTGTAAGACAATTATGTGCAGACAATTGTGCGTATGGACAATTGTGTGCAAGGAAATTGTGTGTTAGATATTTGTGTGCAATATGAGTGTGTGTATGTGCAAATAAATATTTTTGTCCTTAAATGTAATCAAAACCGTTCTCAATCAGAACTGGCTTGCCTTTTTCAGTTTCAGAAAATAAAATTGACATGATTTGTTCGTACTTTCAATGTGATCTATATGATAGTGAATTCTAAATGACTGTAAATGGATATCTTCTATTTTTCTCACTCGTTTAAATACTTTCAAGGAAAATTGATCGACGTGCATGCGCATTACCGTCCGTTCTCAAAGGTATCTTACACATAACTGTCTGTTCTCATAATTGTTTTTCACACAATTGTCTTACACACAACAGTCATAGACCCCAATAAGATGTAAATATAGCTCCAGCTGATGAAGTGTCATTAATCGAGATTCTAATACTAGTCTCATACCCTAGAAATGGTTCGAATTCAATAATTCTTAAAACGATTTATATATTAATTAATTAGACTTACATAAGATTGAGCTAATGTATCATTAATAGGTGTACGTGGATCTATATGGTTATAGTTTTCAGCTTTAAATTGAAATTTTGAAAATTGTTTATCTGTATGCCAACAATGTAAATGTAAACGATGATTTTTTTCTAAATCATCTGGATTTTCATTTGTTGTTGATTGATCTAATAATTCATCTACTTTTTTTATATCAAGCTTTTCAGAAACTAATAAATGATTTACTGTTAAATGTGTCCCATACATACTCACTACACCATAATGCCAATCAGGCCATAATAAAGTTCCTATTTTTGGGTCTTGTTCAACACGAGTAAATTCATTATCAGATAAATAAAGCACTGTATCTAATGTTAAATTTGCTATACGTTGTGCAACACATGATGCTCTATACCTTGAGTAAGACAATAAGATAGAATTTAATATAATAAATATCTAGCTAAATTCTAAACTCTGTCAAAAAAGAGTCATCCATTGAATAAATTAAACCAACCAAATCCTTATACAATATGTACCTGTCGTTTTGTTGCTACTTTAATCGAAATTCTTCAAACAGAATGTCATTATAGATAAACATAATTTTTCATTTTGATTGTATTGTCTTTTCTATATTCACTATACTTCGACTGAATTCGTACTTTTTCTATCGGTATTACGATATCAGCAAGGAAAAAAATAGCGTACTAAAAAAATTTGCTACTTCTACATTTGTTTACTCTCTTGGAATCAAGGTTAAGCTTTATAATTCATGCTTCCTTGTATATGTAAAAGTTTATTTCTACAAATGTTCCAAGTACNAACATACAAAGATTCCGATAATGAATTATTCAAGTATTATATAGGTTATTTGAAGAGAAGAAGTTTGTGCTGCCTGGTTTCTAGTAAGCGGCCAGAAAGAATTAAAGAGAATATATAATTAGGTTCTCGAAGAGAAACAGTTATGTGAAAATACAATCAGCGAAGCATCTCCACTTACTAGCCAGACAGCATTCAACAATTTTCGACCTATTTATTTGTGACAAAACCACAACGTATCATCTGTGACTACATCACGTAATCTCTCAGGTCTATGTTCAAATCTTTTTTAATTTTCTTTGTATATTCGAACCTGTTCAGTCTGTTGAGAATTGGTCAGCTGTTTGGGAACATAAAGTACAGTAGCTTTTCTTCAATTTCAGATGATCGAAAATAATTTGCTGTATGGCTCAGACCACTTTGCATTTCAAGTGCGTCATTTATAATATAAGGGTCATCATCAATAACGTAGCAATCTTGTTGGATATTTTCAGATGTTGTCTCGACCTTGAACAAATCAATTTGACCATCTTCGAACAGTCCTGGAAGTTAGAGCCTGATCGCCAGAAATTCAGTATAATTCATCATGAATAACTGTGGGCTCAATATGTAATGTAGTACGCACTTTGATTAAGAACCCAAAATAATTTCTACTCATATCCAAAAATAGATGTGAACAGCTTTGACCATGTTAATAATCTGTGTTGAAAACATTATGCTACATTGCCTTAGATGTATATCTTTTTTTATGTTCTTCTTTTCATTTCTTGTTGATCTTTTCCTGTCTTCTCTTTTCTCTGTTGTTTGTTTCCTCTAAAATCTAGCTGCCCTTATACATGTAAAGATACGTATGTTGTTTATTTTTTGTATATATCGAGTATATTGTTGTGTATTCTCAAAAAGAAAATCTATAAAAGTTAATAGCAAACTTTAAAACTTTGAAACTTCGATATTATAATATTACTGGAAGAACGGTGAAATATTGGAATATCATACAACTCGATTTGGACAATGAGTATAGATTAAAAAAAAATCTCCCGTGGTTTCTTATTCAGATATTCACATAAACTTAACAAAAAGAGGAGAAAATGGGCAAACATTTGCTTATATAATACTTAAATAAACTCGAGTTGATGGAATCAAACGTGATGCGACACGATGTATCCGAACTAAATATTAAAAAGAAAAGAAATAATTTGTTTTGAGTCCAACGAAATCTTAAACAACATTTTTCTCTGCTATGAATGTACCTTTATTATTAAAACAAATGGATACGAAAATAAATGTACGTCGACAATTGCAAGGATAGGCGGTGCACCAGTAAAGCAATAGGATGCGATTACTTCCCCTATGAAAATTAGGATGTGTAATAAGAACTTATTGCCATCCTTGATATCTTCCTATATTGATGGTTAATATGAACATACTAATACAAACTGCTAGAAGTTTGTTTTATTACATCTCTATGACTATACTTTTTCACATTTATAAGGCATCTACCTTTATTTAACAAACTGAAGTACGATTGATTGATAGCATATTATTGGAGATAGACAAAGACTACATCAACATTCTCTGTTTTCTGTTCTTTCGGGTTTTTTACAATTTTGTGATTAGCTAATATCAATTTATTAGCTAAATATCTAAAACGAGTGAAGTTTCTTATTATTTCACAAATAAGCGAGAAATGCCATTACATGAAAAAATGAATACATGTAACAGAACAGTTATGAATAATACAGCTATTGTTAATATAAATCAAACAATTATACTACATGAAATTGATGATGCAACATCAGTCCCACCATCTTGATGGTGTGAATGTTGGTCTTAGCCTTCTCTGCACTCACTTACACTAATATTCATACCTGTACAGGCCAAGAGAGATTATATAGTTTATCTATAATTTACCTTGAAGTATTTTTGAAATTGATTTAGATACTATTGTGAATGAATTTGTAACGGAAAAAACATACTTCGAAAATGAATAAATTAATTTTATGGAATACTTGAACCGAAGTATTTTTTTTTTATAATCATCCGTTTAGAAAAATTTATTGCTTTCTTTATGTTAATTTTTTAAGTAAAAATGTTGACAAAAAAATCATTTTACAAGAATAAAATAAACAAAATCATATAATATATATTATCATTATTCAGAAAATTTAAATCATAACTTTACACATTGAATTTAATATTTTTCGGACATTATAATTTCATTATAAATAATAAAAGTTCGAAGTGTAAATTAGAGAAATATACCTTTGTTATTTAGTGCTACTCTTAGTTATAATTACAAACATTACGATGGTGGCCGAGAACCAACTTCAAAAAGAATACTTCTAGCGAAATTATTTTCACTTTTGTCCATAATGCTTCCTCTATCAGATTGTAGAAGAAAAAGAAAAGAAAAACTTGCATCAACTTTCTTCAAAACCTACACATCCTCTACTAATAAGAATCGACATATTTACTATTGCAAATTTTCAAGCCTTGAATTTTCTTGAAAAAAAAGTATTTTATTAAAATATGTTTTTTTTTAATACTGGTAGAAAATTTCAAGTACAAATTAGATATATCATTACATAATCGTTTGATGGTTTTTAAAAAGAATTTATCTTTAGAGATAAAATCACCATCATCATTTTATTTCATCATATATATATTTTGTTGTTTAATTATTGTTTCTTTTTTTTTTGTAAATCTTGAATTTATCTATGTCTAGTTCAAGTATCTTTGTACTTCTGATATGAGTGTGCACTTTAAGGTATTCCGTATTTAAATTTTTGTCGGAGAAAGATAAGGCAACTATATTATTCAATTTTGCTTTTAATACATAAATAGTGATCGGAGTTTTGTGAAATCTTGTGTTATACATTTTATGTCAGTGTTTTTTTTAAGGATAGTGTAGAAATCTTTTAAAGGTCTATACAACTCAATTTTGAAAAACAATATAAATGATTGAATTCGGTACATTCAGCATGGAAATAATTTTGGATAAAATATCATAACTGAACTGAAGTGTTGCTTATATCAAATCGTAGCTATCAGTATTTTCTCAGAAGCTATTTATTAGATAAACAATCTTTTGATGAAAAAAACAATTTTTCCAAAATGAAACTAACAACTGCCAGTAAAATGTTAGAGCAAAACCATGGTTTTCATTGAGATACAAAATTTAAAAAAAACAAAGGGTTATGTTCAATTTTCTTAAGAAATAGCTATCTCATAATTCACTTCTTTTTCGTGTGTACTTGGACTGATGTCTTTGAGATACGTCTCATTTGAAAGAGAAAACAAAATATGAACAAGATGTCGTACATTTCATGACTAAACGATGACATCTAGAAATCCAACAATTTTTTAAATCCTTTAAGAAAAAAAACAATGCTAGACTGTCTATATCGTACCTTTTCTAGACTAACTTGTAGGTCGTATTTTTTTGTACAAGATACACTATGTTTTAAATTTTTAAAATGCGTAGAGAATGCTTACAAAGGTAAAATACTGAGAATGACTACGATAATTCAAAAACTAAAAATTTCGAAAAATTAAGTTTTGTGACCTTCTAATCATAGATATGGGTGACAATGGTATCGATACGGCTGAAAGTCTTTACTAGAAGGTTTGAAATTATTCCCGACTAGACTTGAGAAAGTTCTGTAATCCGTCTTACATATAATTACCATTCTAGTATCTTAGGATATTAAAATGTATATTTATCTTCTTTTCTACTCATCTTTTCTCACATCAAAGCAAAGTTTGGTTATATACGCACGATTTCATTAGATTATCCTTCTTCATTTGATGACAAGTAATCTGATGTAGATGAGTAGTAAAACGAATGCCTATCATTTACTCCAAATTGGTTACCACAAATCAAATCTCCATTTGGGGATTTTTTGACAAGAAATTTATTATACATTCTGTAGTTCAATCGCATTCTTTTTCTTCATCAGATCGTATTAACAAAATTAAAACTTTTGAAGTCATATCTGTTGGAGCTATTTAGTTTGGATTCATTAAATATAATGAAAACAGTTTTACGATGAATCTGGTAACTAAAATTTATTTTGGATTACTACAACAAACCATTTTGAGATAAATCTGGTGACGAGAATACATTTTGGGTTGCCAAAAGGAAGACTTTGTAGTAGCCAAAAATACATCCTGGTCACCAGATTCATCGTAAAACTGTTTTTATCATGTTTAATGAATCCAAATTAAATAACTCCAACAGATATGACTTCGAAAGTTTTATTTTTGTTAATACGATCTGAAATGAGAATAAGGATGGTATTGAACTACAGAATGTATTATATATTTCATATAAAAAATTCCCCAAATTAAAAAATTCCTAAATCAGAATCCTCAAATGGGGATCTTTTTCGAGATTGATTTGTGGTAACCAATTTGGGGTAAATGATAACCTACCAATAAAACAGAATCATCTCTACTTTCTCTTATTTGACTTTTTCTATAGCTACTTTTGAAATATATCGTATTAAAAAATAAAAAGAAATAATACTTGTTTGTGACGTAGGTTGATACAAATGTACTCAGACAGAAACTACTGCTGTCTCCTTAACGTCATGTGCGCGCGATAAATATTGACGATCGATGATGCATGCAATGAACGTATGAAAGAGAAAAAAATGAATGATGATAAGCAAAGTCACT